ATTTAGAGACTTTGTGGCCTCTTTGATGGAGCTGAAGAAGGTGACAGCTGTTGTCTTGACAAACTTCAACATTGGGTGCTGCCAGTAGGAGATAATCAATGTATTGGATTAAAGATGAGCCCTTGAGAAAGTGATGGAAGCTAGATCTAGCTGTAGTATTTCAGAAAACAGGGTAGGGCTTTCTATGTACCCTTAAGGGAAAAGAGTTTATGCCCACTGTGTGTTCTTCCAGGTACTGAAATTCTGGGTGAATGAGAATGATTTTTACTTTTTTTTTTTGGTGAGGCAATCGGGGTTACATGACCTGCCCAGGGTCACACAGCTATTAAGTATCAAGTGTCTGAGGCTAGATTTGAACTCAGGTCCTCCTGACTCCAAGGTCAGAACTGTATCCACTGTGCTACCTAATTGCCCTGAGAATGATTTTTTTAAAAACACTGAGCAAAGATCTATCACAGTAAAACTGATAACCTCACGGCGAAATGAGGAAATGACGGTAGCAGGGTTGGGCACCACCAGGTGCCTGGGTATAACATAAGCATTAACAGTGCACAAATCTTGTACAAAACAATAAACAAGTTTGCCGTCAATACCTGGTTTAGGTTTCTTAATAGCGAGGACAGACATCTATTGCAAGGTGATGTGCAAGGCATGATGTTTGGTCTCCTAACGAGTCAATGATGGGTGAAAAACCTTAAATGGCCTCTGTGGATAAGAAGTATTGGGAAATAGATGGCAGAGGGCCTCTCCTAATTTTGATGGTAACAGGGATGGTGGATTTTAGGAGCCCCATGTCTAAAGACAAAAAGGCCCATAGAGTTGAGGATATCAGATGGATGTTAAGAACATCTCCAACTGCCTCCTGGGAATTCTAAATCAGGACAGGGTAAAAAGAGAGGGAATCCTTGGGCAGCTGCAAGTACAGAGTACCACTGAGAGAATGGGAAGTGATAACCCTAAGTTTACAGAGGAGATCTTGCCCCAACAGATTTACATGCAATTTGGGCATGAAGAGGAAGGAGTGTTCTACAGAAAAGGGACCAAAAGACAATTTTGGAACATTCTGAAGGTTTTCTTGAGACCCCTACAATGTTCAGAGACCCAATAGAGCTGCAGTTAGAGTCAGGTTTACTCGTTAAAACCAAATTAGAAGCTTCAGTATCTAGTAAGCAATTATAGATTTTACCAGCAACTTTAAGTGTGACATGGGTTCACTGGTGTGGGGAGAGGCATGGACTAGGCTGGCTGGGACAAGGATATCAAAGGCCAAGGAAAACAAAAGAGTCCTCTCCAAAATCCACAGTCCTCTGCCTCATACCTTCATGCAGCAGAATTTCCCAAAGCATTCCTAGGTCCACTACTATTTTTCCTCCTAAAGTCCCATTTTTCTTTTCTACATTCTTGGACAATATGGCTCCTTCTTGTGGCAGTAAAAACATTCATGTGACTCACAAGTCTTGATATAGCCTGTGCAGGGGCGAGGCTGGCCCTTTGACTAAGATTTCTCTTTCTCCTTATCTTTTTCTTCATAAATATACTGGGCAATGCTCTTAATTTTGCCTATAGGTTTTTCATGCCATCCAGGGTAATTCTTATGGAAGTATCTTTCTGTTTCTGACTGGAGTTGACTGATAAAAGGCTGAATTTATTATTCTTGCATCTCATAGGTTAAATGGATCTACGCCCACATACCACTTAGCACTTTTATATAATCTATCATAAAAATGGTTAGGGGTTTCATTTTCTTGTTAAATTGTCTCTTTAAATTTATTTGTTTTCAGGGTGGACAGCACAAGCTTCCATGCCTCTAATTAAGGACTCTCTAGTCTGAAGTAACTTGGTATAATTCAGCAGGATTGTTGGAGTTCCATTGAAGGTCTTATAATGGCCAGTTTGGGAGATTGTGGGGCCAGGACCCCCATGCCAATTTAGCAGCTTCAATAACGGCAGTTCTTTTACTGGGTGAAAGTAAGGTTTCCATTAGGTCAATTACATCTCCCCAGATGTAATTATAAAGATGGCCTGAAACTGGGTTATAACCACTCCTGGATCTTTGTTAAATTTCTACCTTTTTGAGGTAGAAAGATCAGAGAGACTGAAAGGCTAACGATTCCTAATCATGACTATCTGACCAGGCTGTGCTAGTTTATGTATAAGCCTTTCTTGAAGAAGGAAAACACCAGCTGTGGGCCCCCCTTGCTCAAGAAAAATTAATCTCCAGTTAATTTAGGAGAAGAATAAGATGGGGCACAGACAGCAGGAAAGAGGAGGTGGCGATAGCAAAAGAAGAAGGAGTAGCTGGAAGAGGCTGTGGGATAGGAAGCAGGCAGGACAGAATAATGAGAGGATACCCACAGGTATGTCAGACATATGGTATCAGAAAAGGCAGCCAATGTAACCAGTATTCCATCTGGCTTGGATTTTTGTCTCCTATGGCTAACCTTAGATCCTTTAATATATGATACTCAGTGGTACTGAATTGAGGCCAACATAAATTATCAGCTGACTCTCTTGCAGTTTTTAACCAAGTTTCCCATATCTTAATGACACACTTCTTGGTCATTCCTGGCTCACCTGGAAGCTTTCCACGGTAGCACAGTGTAAAAAATTTTTTCAAGGTTTCATTTGGTTTGCTATTGCTAGATCCCATTATTCCCTTAAAAGGACTTCCCTAACAGTGTGAAGGCTTACCTTAGGTCAGGAATTGAGATTGAAGCCTTCTGTAGAGAAATCTTTCTGTGAGAAAATCAACTAGAACATTCTAAGGTGTTCCTCTGGGAGGCCATCCCCCAGGCCAGGGTCCCTTCTCAACCTCCTGGCTGGCTCACCAATTGTCATATGCAGTTTTATGACTGAGGAAACAAGGTTCAAGCTATGTGATTTATTAGCAAGGAATGTAATCTGGGCCTTCTCAATAAGTACAAGGACCCTAAAGAAAGATTTACAAGGATTTTTATAGTAAAGTACAATACATTTATGTATGTGTGTCTCTCTCTCTCTATATATGTATATGCATATGTATAGTAAAGTTACTATCTTAAGACTTAGGGACTTTCCAGATTTCAGGGACTGTGATTGGTTGCATATACCTGCAGCCCACAAAACAGTTAGTGGTACAACAATAAATTATTTCCCCCAAATCTCATGACCTATAGGAAAACTAAACTTGATTCAAGAAAATAAAGACAGCTATAGCATCTGCATAAAATATGGCAATGATACAAAATGGAATTAGTTTTATTCTCTCAAGGACCTTCTTGCAGTGATGGCCTAGTTGAGATTAGCTAGAATTAGTTTATAGTGAAGCCAAGTCAACAAAATTTCATGAGTTCCTCCAGTTCTGTTCAGTAGCACCTGAGTAGGGACAAAATATCCAGTATAATTCAAGGTTGGGATTTGGCAAGTGACAGGACGAAAGAGTAAAGGATTCAAGAGAAGAGGATGGTGTAGGGTTGAACTGGTTTACCAAGAAGTCAAGATTGGGAAGAAAGGAAGGTATAGCCTGAGGATGGATGATACTTGGATACTGCTGAGGGACAGAGGGATTTGAAGGCATTTGTGATGATAAAGAGTAGGTTTAAAAGTTATAAGGAAAGTTGGAAAATTAAAAGGTTATAACCAGATAAAGGAAATTCAGAGTTCTTGAAGTTGGAAATGAAACACTTGTGGGTGATAATAAGATGAAAGGTAGGACTAACCCTGTATATGGCTGAGGTAGAGTGAAGGAGCAGGTCATGGGAGTGGAGTAGATTGAGAAGCTACCAATTTAAGGCATTTTAGGTAACATCGACCTGTATGTTGAAGTCCCTTAGAATGAATGTTGGAGTAGAAAGGAAGACTGTGATGTAAGCACTGTGAGGTAAGCCCAATGATTTAGAAAGTAGGGACAATGTCTTAGGGTTCAATAGATAACAGCTACTTATATTTAACCTGTGATAAATTTAGATGGGATGAATCTCAAAGAAGGAGAGATGCCCAAAGATGATGGTGAAAGGAGAGGCTGCTTGGAAGTGTCAATGGACAGCAATGAGTATTCTAACTCTCCTACCATGACATGCCGTGTGTTGACCAGGGAGGGAAGTGGGATATGAATAAAAATGAAACCAGTACTAGAAACAGTGGTAAGGGATGTAATATCATCATTAAGAAGCCACAGCTCAGTGACAAAAGATAGGAGTGAGAAAAGAAGAAATTTAAGATGAATACAAGTTATAGAGCCAGCATTCTAGAGGGAACAATGGAAGAGGTGGTCAGATCTGCAGTGAGACACTGGTGGGGAGCAGAAGGAGATGGATGAGAATGAGGCAGTGGACAGCTGAGGCTAGAAAAAAGGGTGACACTGAAGAAGAAACTTGAGCAACTGAAGGTTCATTATCAGGCACCCACCCCTGAGAGGTTTTCCCTGCTACCCCAACATACCCACACAGTCTCAGGCTGTACATGGCACTAGAGAGCAATAAATGAGCTCTGAAGACAGCAGCAGCATTCAACTTTCCTACAACCATTACAGCAGCCCTCTCAGCTAGCCCAGCCTTTCTCTAGCCAACCAGCAAAACAATGCCTCTCTTCCAATCCTCATGGCTCCCAGAAAAAATCTGCAAAGCCTTCCTGTCATCTTATTGCTGCTTTTGTATTCTGACTACCTTTTCTTGCAGTCTACTGTCCTTTCTATCCTCAGTGCCTTCTGCACTCAGCTTCTGCTCCTTTGTCTTTTTATATCTCTTTCTAGAGTTTTTTCTCTGTCTTCTATCGTCTCTCTGCCTTACTATACTATCCAATGCCTTGAATCAGAGCCACTTGGGGGTTAGTGATTTATCTTTACCTTATGAGGTAAAACTCAAGGAACGCACCCTTTTGTCAGGTATGAGCCCGACAATTCCTATGTAATCTTCCCATAGTCCCCAAACAGTTAGTTGATTTGTAATTTTCTAAGTTATAACTTTTAAAATTCCAAAAGTAGTCACATGAAAATGACCACAATATCTTGCAGCCATCATTACCTCAATCGTTGCTCTGTCTTCAGACATGTCCTCTCAGTCCATCAATCTAAGGGGCAGTTCTCTAGTTGGTCCTCTGAACAATCGGTGTCTCTTCTTAACATTTCATCTGAGAAACTTAGTATCTTCACAAATTGATTCGTATCTGTTTTTCTCACATAAATATTCTTTTTCTGGAAGGGGCAGAAAAAACATTTTTGTAAAATTGATTTTTTAAAAAATCACTTGTGAAGAATTGCAGTCTCTCTGATAAATGTTGAGAAGAGACACAGAGCGTTCAGAGGATCAAAAAGGCCAACAGCCAAAAGAAATCAAAGAAATAAAAAAAAAGTCTTATATGTACAAAAGTGTTTATATCAGCTCTTTTTGTGGTGGCATGAAAAAATGGAAACTAAAGGGATGCCTATTAATTGAGGAATGGCTGAATCAATTGTGACATATAAATGTGATAGAATACTATTGTGCTGTGAGAAATGAAATATCATTTCAAAAAGACATGAAAAGACTTAAATGAACTGATACAGAGTGAAGTAAGCAAAACAACTTCCACTATAACATAAACATAAATATAAAAACAAAATAAATTGAAACCTTTTATAAATTGATGAAGAATGAAATTGATAGAACCAGAAAAAAAACAATTTATACAATAACCACATTGTAAAGACAGTTAAAAATTTTTTTTATTAATTTATTTTGATTTATCAACAATCACTTCCATAAGCTTTTGAGTTTTAAATTTTTCTCCCCCTTCCTCTCCGAGATAGCATGCAATCTGATATGGGCTTTACATATACATTTCTATTAAACATATTTTCACCTTAGTCATGCTGTAAGGAAGAATTAGAACCAATAGGAAGAACCACAAGAAAGAGGAAACAAAACAAAATAGAAGAAAAAAAATAGCAAATAGTATGCTTTGCTCTGCATTCAAACTCCATAGTTCTTTCTTTGGATGTGGATAGCATTTTCCATCAGGAGACTTTTAGAGATGAAAAACAATTTTGAAAACCATAAGAACTATGATCTATACAGTGACTATTCATGATTCCAGAGAAATGATTATGAAACGTACTATCTACCTGCTAAAAGAGAAGTGATGAATTTAGAGTACAGAATGAGATCTCTCTTTGTCTCTGTGTCTGTTTCTCTCCATCTATCTATATTTCTATACAGCCAAAGGGGGAATTTGTTTTGCTTGACTGTATATTTTTTATAAGGAATTTGCTTTTCTTTTCTCTTATTTCCTTTTGGAGTGTGAGGTAGGAGGCAGAAAAAATAGATTTCTGTTAATTTTTTAAAATACTTTAAAATAGGTTTTGGTGGTGCTGCAGATATGAAATGTTGCATACACTTCCAGATGAGGTCACTGCTTTATTAGTCTTGCTAATTGTTACAAGAGAGCTCTCATGGAGTAGGGGTAATCTGGAAATGTTTGTAATATTAAAAAAAATCAATAAAACTTTTTAAAAAACCACAAATATTCTTTTTCTGCCCCTTTCAGCAACCAAGCTGTTCACATACAAAAGGGTCAATATCTTATATTTATGTAGAGTTTGAATTCTGATACATCCTTTTGCCTGTAGTGCAGCAGATAACGTGGGAAATCTCTGATTTTTCTGGTCCCTGGGGACCCTCCCATAGAACTGGACATACACTCTCTCCTTACTGAGGCACATGTACTTGCTGGGTTGGTCTTGGGGATCAGGGGACCAATCCAGGGTTGCTGAATCATCCCAGGAGCACAAGCACCTTTGCAAGGCAAAGTGTGTATCCCACAGGCATACTGCATGCAGGAGACCATAGATCAGTCAAACAAAGGTTCTCTTATCATTCCCACTTACTCTACTGAAGTAGTATTGGTTGTTTGCAAGATAGCTGATTTGATAGTGGGTTACTATCAGTGACTTGCTATGGGGGAGGATGTGAGGAAACCCCTGTACAATTGCTTTTATAAATGTCTGTTTCTGATCCATTGGTTTAAAATATTAGGAAAAGGCAGGAAATGTAGGTTTACTCTGGGAAGTGATTAAAAGCAACTTTCCTATGTTAATGGGTCACTGAAAAAGAAGGAGAGGAAGTTAGCTGAGTGATTTAGTAACTTGGTCACCAAGATAACTTTACTGAGGGAGGTGGGAGGTAGGGGGAGAATACTCACAGCACTGACACAAATCCATAAAAATGCTCCATCACCTGGTTCTTCTTTTTCTTCCTTGTGGTTCAGGGGCAGAAGCAAGGATAAAAGACTGAGAGGATATTTCAAATAATCAAACAGGCCTTAAGGTACAGAGAAAGGTCATGTAGAACAAGCATAGTGGGGAATTCTGGTTAAAAATGGTGACATGAAGGATCATAGCTCTCCCACAGAAACCCCAACTACTATCTGAAAATAGTCCTTGAAAAAGACCAGTGACAAATCTGAAAAGACTCAAAATTAAGCTCCTCCATCCAGTCTTGAACTGCACAAACAGGTAGCCAGAAGAGAGTGGAGGCAGGAAAAGAGGCGTCAAAAAGAGAGATAATGTGCGTAATATACATAATGTATATATGTATATGTATATACACATACATATACATACACACATATGTTGGAAAAGAGTTCATTATGCTTCAGGTGGACTCAAAAAAAGGAGATATAGCTATGGCCACAATGATGTCAGATAAGGCAACAGTAAAAATAGAAATGGTTAAAAAAGTCAAGCAAAGAATCTATATTATAGCTAAAGGCATTTATATACATTATTGTATACATTATATCTATAGATAATGAAATAACATCAATACTGAATATTACATGTGTATAAATGACATAATATCCAAGTTCTTGAAGGAAAAGTTAATCAAACTGCAAGAAGAAATAAAGATCAAAACTATAATAGTTGAGACTTAAATGTGCCCCTTTTAGACCTAGACAAATCTAACAAAAAAGATAAATAGGAAAGAAGTAAGGATATAGAATTGAATAGAATTTTGAATAGAATTTTATAAATAGAATTTTATAAAAGTTAGACAATAGATCCCTAGTGATTAATAAATGGGAAGTGAAAGGGACATACTGTACAGTAGTTCTTGCTTTATGTGGGGAAGGGAGGGAGGCAGGCAGGAAGAGGTGCTGTCTGTGGAGGAAGGGGGCTGGCACATGGTTCAAGGACATGTGGGGACTAGGGAGAGAAAAGGAAGAACAGGAGGAGGAAACTGCTAGCCTGAAGGCTTGAAGGCCTGGCCAAAACTGGGAAGAACAGGCAGAATGGGGACAGACACAGGACACTAGGTATCCAAGTACAGACTGAGAGAAGACAAATATATAAGTGTGTAGGCTGAACAGGGCAAAGTTGTCTTCTCTCAGAATCAGATGTCTCAAGTCAAACTCCTAATCTGTCTCCTATTCTTCTGCTTTCACTTGGAGAGGCAGGAGGAGAAAAAAAGAGAGAGAAAGAGAGAGACAGCAATGTACAAAAAAATTAACATAGGTGTTTTTTTGGATTTCTTTCAAAATTCTTTGTGAAGTCAAATTTGTGTAAAGCAAATTTACATAAAGGAAGAACTGTCTACATATTTTTGAGGCGTGAATGATACAAAAACTGACCATGATATAGGGCATAAAAACCTCATAAATAAATGCAGAAAACAGAAATATTAAAGCTGTCCTTTAAAGACCACAAGACAATACATATTATAATCAATAAATGACATTTTTAAAAAGTATTCAAAACTAAATGGATAACAAACAATTTAATACTAAAGAATTTGTGGGTCAAACAACAGTCATAACAATAACACATAATTTCATATCTATATTAAGACAATATATGAAAATTTGGGGGATTCAGAAAAGGCTGTCCTTAATGGAAATTTTATATCTCTAAACATGTTTGGAGACTTTCTGGCCAAGATGGCTACCTGAACAAAGGCAGATTGCTCTGCTCCCCCAGACCTACTCTAATAAAAATCTGAAATTTGTTTAAGACCAAATAATGGTCAATAAATCCAATGAGAAACTATAGTAAGTGCTTTCTTCAACCCCAGAACTATACAAAAAAAAATAAGCCAGTAGCTTACAGGAGATAGGAATGGAAGCCACTAGCAAAGCCAGCACCGGCAGAGGCAAATAAGCCCTTAGCCTCCCAGAGTGGACAAAGAAGGTCCCGAGGCAGGTATAACCTTTGGAGTTCTATATTAAAGGCAGCAAGAGCAGAAGGGTCTCCTAGGAAATCCTCAGGGTAGCTGTAGGAACCACAGTGGGGGGCTTTGGAGACTCCGTGGAATGACAGCGGCTAGTGGGTGAGTAGAAGCACCAAGGGAGAGTATGGCTCTGACCAGGACACCCTAGGACTCCAAGGTTCCTAGCAAACACCTGTGATTCAAAGATACCATAGAGAGGCTCTGAAGAGTCAGCACCCTGAACCTCAAAGATCTGTGGTAGGGGTCAGGGGCAGGAATAGAGGTAAGCATAAGAACCCAGGGAACACAGAGTAAAATGAATCAGGGATAACTGCCCCATCCAAAAGCACAGAAAAGGTGCAGAGCTTGGTTCTGGCACAAAGCATCAACTGAGGAACTAAAGCTGAAGAGAAGAGTAAACCAAAAAAGACACTGGTGAGAGTAAAGACACTGCAAATCTAGAGATCACTCCAAAGCAGGAAAGAATAACTTTGTAAAAAGTACAAGCAAAGACTCAAGGGAAAATGGATTTTCCAATAGGACTACATTAATATATAGAAGAAATAAAGCAAGAGACCAAAAAATGAAATGAAAACTCCTGAGGAAAGAATTGGAAGGAGAATAAAGTTTCAAAGAGAAAGTGTTAGACTTATACAGGTTATTTATACAGGTAATAAATTCCCTAAAAACTAGAATAGACCAAACAGAAATCAATGATTCCATGAGATAGCAAGAAATATTAGAATAAAATCCAAAGATAGAAAAAGTAGAAGAAAATAGAAGAAATATATATGTACATATACATATATGTATATATATAAGTGTATGCACACTTATGCACATATACATATATATGGGTGTGCACACATACATATACAATTATTTCTTCATTTATTTGTTTACTTGTATATAAAACTGACCAGAGAAACAGGTCAAAGGGAAATAACTTAAGAATCACTGGACTCCCTAGAAACTATGGTTGTTAAGAACAACAACATTATTTCAAAAAATTATAAACTAAAACTAGCCAGATCTATTAGAACCAGAAGGAGAAGGAAAGATGGAAAGGATACAATGATCATTTCCTGAAAGAATGTCCAAAAACCCAGGAATGTCATATCCAAAGTGCAGAGCTGGCATATCAAATAAAAAGTATATACAGTGCGAGCCTCGAGAAAGCAGCAGTTCAAGTACCAACAAACCACAGTCAAGATCACACAATCAGCCCTTTCCACTAAAACTGAAAGGAGATCTTGCTAAATAATGTTCCAAAAAGCACAATATACAGAGGACTCTGAGAAAATGGTGAGGTAGGTCATAAAACACCAGACTCTCCAAATTTCTTCCACAAATAAGACGAAACATTGCCTCAAAGTGAACTTTGAGCTGCTGAAATAATTAAGGATTGGGGTACAGTTACCTAAGCCTATATGTGGGTAAGGATTTACATGACAGGGACTCCCACTCATATCAGTTATACACTATCACAGTAATAACAGCGCGTCTTCTACCTCCAATGCAGAAAAAAGAATGGTCCCTTTCTCCCTCAGCTCTCTACTTAGAACATCCAGGGCAGCTACATATTCAGTTCCTCCAAACCATAGGTTGAACTATACAGTAGCTAGAGAAAAGCTATTCTATAGCTCTAAATGCCTAATGCAGGTACTTACCTTTGTCTGAGTTAACTGCTGGCCACTTAGTAGACTATAGGGATCTATGCTGGGCCAATATCCTGTCTTTCTGCACCATATCATCTCCTCCATGCCTCAGTATTCTTAGGAACTTCTGGTTATTTCTTGACTTGAATTAACCCTAAGTTAGGATGGCCAAAAAAAAGTAATGATCCGTGTGCTCTAAGGGGGAGTGGGAAAGCTCCTATTCATATTTTCAGGTGCAATTTAAATGATTTTTTAATCAATAAATAGGCATGAGGAGCGGGTGGTCATGTGACTGGAGCTACTGTCTTCTTGGCAAGTTAACACAGAGATGATGTATTTTCCAAAGCTCAGACTGCCAGCTTTCCAATGGCTTTAGTGCCCTCTGGTGGAATTAATACGATCATGCCATCACTGCCTCTCAGTCCTTTCCTAGTTCTAGCTCCTGCCTTCCTCCAAGTGAGGGAGCAGCAAGCATTCCCTGATTTTAATGCTGAAAGGCTGTAGATGATTCTGTTAGTCTTAAGAAGAACCCCTAATTCTAAAGAAAAGTGGGACTGAGTCCCAGTCACTTTTTGCGATGTATAGAAAGATTATCAACACCCATAGCTGAGGAATGGTTGGGAGGGTGGGGAGAGAGGGAGGCTGGAGTTTTTTTTTTCAAGTATAATCAATTTATTAGCAAAGCTAGCTATTGCCAATAAAAGGGATCCAAAGGTACTTAGTAGCCAAGGTTCCAACTGACAGAGCAGCTCTTTTATAGTTAAGGGGAGTGTACAAAAATCCAAACAATATGTAGGAGACAAAAATAACTTGGCACTTCAGAGATGGAGAATGAGTTTTGACTGGCCAGTGTCAACAGACATTGTGCTATGATTGGTTGGTGATGCTTAAATCAGGTGGAGTAGGGAACTGAAGTTACAGGCTTAAGGGAGCTCAAACTCACATAATGAGGGGGCCAAATAATACATAGTAGATTGATCATTAATATGTAATAATTTGACAAAGTAAAGTGGCATATCAATTTTCATTTCCACAAGCTGAGGAGGCGATACTGTCACGTTGGCTACAGAGACGGTTGCTGGCATTTGATTATCAGGTTTTGGTGCTATGTTTCTGGAAGAATAGGGTACATGGTAGTTACCTAAGGCTTCACTCTTGGCTGTTGGTGAGAGTGGGAACTTGGGGAGAAGACTGAATGAGCATGGGTGGAATCATGGAACACTGACTTTTTACACTTTTACAGCCACTGAAGAGGCTGGGATGTTTTAACATTAACAGGTTTGCTGTAACTCTCTTCATGTTCCACTTGAGTCCTGTATTTGAAAGTCAAATTTTCTGTTTAGCTCTGGTCTTTTCAACAGGAATGCTTGAAAGTCCTCTATTTCACTGAATGACCATTTTTTCCCCTGAAGAATTATACTCAGTTTTGCTGGGTAGGTGATTCTTGGTCGTAATCCTATCTCCTTTGCCCTCCAGAATATTATATTCCATGCCCTGCGGTCCTTCAATGTAGAAGCTGCTAAATCTTCTGTTATCCTGATTGTGTTTCCACAGTACTTGAATTGTTTCCTTCTGGCAGCTTGTAATATTTTCTCCTTGACCTGGGAACTCTGGAATTTGGCTACAATATTCCTAGGAGTTTTCCTTTGGGGATCTCTTTCAGGAGGAGATCTGTGGATTCTTTCAATTTCTATTTTGCCCTCTGGTTCTAATATATCAGGGCAGTTTTCCTTGATAATTTCTTGAAAGATGATGGTCTAGGCTCTTTTCTGGATCCTTTCAGATGTCCAATTTTAAATTCTCTCTCCTGGATCTATTTTCCAGGTCAGTTGTTTTTCCAATGAGATATTTCACATTATTTTCTAATTTTTCATTCTTTTGGATTTGTTTTACAGTGTCTTGATTTCTCATAAAGTCAGTGTCTTCCAATTGCTGTATTCTAATTTTTAAGGAAGCATTTTCTTCAGTAATCTTTTGGACTTCCTTTTCCATTTGGCTAATTTTTCTTTTTAGGGCATTTTTCTCCTCATTGGCTTTTTGGACCTCTTTTGCCATTTGGGTTAGGCTGGTTTTTAAGGTGTTATTTTCTTCAGTATTTTTTTGGGTCTCTTTTAGCAAGCTGTTGACTTGTTTTTCATGATTTTCTTGCATCACTTTCATTTCTCTTCCCAGTTTTTCCTCTACTTCCTTTACCTGCTTCTCAAAATCCCTTTTGAGCTCTTTCAAGGCCTGGGACTGATTCATATTTTTCTTGGAGGCTTTGGATGTAGGAGCTTTGATTTTGTTGTCTTCTTCTGGTTGTATATTTTGATCTTCTTTTTCACCAAAGTAAGATAATATAGTCTGACTCTTTTTGCGCTGCTTGCTCATGATCCCAGCCCAATTACTTGAGTTTTAAACTCTTTGTTAAGGTAAGAGTCTGCTTCCAATGTGGACAGTGTACTGTCCCAAGCTTCAGGGGTTTGTGTAGCTGTTTTCAGAGATACTTGTAGGGACCTGTAAATTTTCAGTTCTTCCAAGGTGGTATGATAAGGGGCGAGGTGTTTACTCCTTTCCTGGCCTGTGACCACAAGTATTCCTTTCTGTCCCGTAACTGTGAGGAGGGGTTTCTCTTCACAGCCACTACAAGCTCTACCATGCCAGCGCTACTCCTCACCCCAGCACCGCCGCCCAGAACTGTGACCCAGATCCACACACGGGCAAAGCAAGAGATTCCTGCCTCCACACTGGCAAAGAGATCCCTGCAATCCCTCTCTGGAGCCTGGAATTTTAGACACTAATATGGTGCTATTCCTAGACCTATGTTGGACTTCTCTCCCTCTTCCTACATATTCTAAAACACACCTTCAATATGAGGTCCACTGCCTTTGGCCACTTCTCTCAGCTCCCATAGACAGCTCCATAGCATAATAGGATCTAGAAATGAAAGAAAACTTAGAGGCTGTCTCATTTAATAATACCTTTATTTTACAAATGAAAAGAACTGAGGTCCAGTGATGGGAGCTGATTTGCCTGAGATCACTTGAGCAAAGCAGACAGGGAATTTCCACTCAGATCTGATCTCTTCATTGCTTAATCCAATGGTCTTTTCTTAGTCCTCATTCTTTTGGGCTCCTCTGCAGCGTGTGAACTGCTAACCACTCCTCTCCTTCCTGGATACCCTCTCTTCTCTGGTGTTTCCCAAATACAGCTCTCTCTCGGTTCTCTTATCTGTATGACTGCACTTTTTCAGTCCCCTTTGCTGGACCATCTAAATTGTGGATATAACCGAAATCCCTGTCCTAGGCACCCTTCTCTTCTCCCATTACACTCTTTCTCTTGCTGCCTTCATCAGCTCCCATGGATTTAAATATCATCTCTGTGCAGATGACTCCAATATCTACATATACAGTCCTGTCTCTTGCCTAAGTTCCAGGCCTTTGTCACTGACTATTGGATATTTTGAACTAGATATTCCATAGGCATCTCAAACTCAACATGTCCAAAACCAAAAACACTTTTCCTGTCATTTACCTTTTCTGTCCTATTAGACAATGAGGTAGTACCTCATAATTATTTTAATTTGCATTTCTGTGATCAATAGTGAGTTAGAGTATAGATAACTGATTTATTAATTGGGGAATAGATCTTATTTTTATAAATTTGACCCAGTTCTCTATATGTTCGAGAAACGAGGCCTTTATCAGAGAAACTTGCTTCACAATTTTTTTCACAGTTACTATTGTTAACTGTATTTCCCTCCATCCTATTCCCCACTCCTGTTTATTCTATTCTCTCTCCTTTCACCCTGCACTTTTTCAAAAGTTTTACTTCTGACTACCCCCTCCTCCAATCTGCCCTCCCTTTTATCACCCCCCCCACACACACATCCTTCTCTTATCCCCTTCCCCTCCAACTTTCCTGTAGGGTAAGAGAGAGAGATTTCTATACCCAACTGAGTGTGTACGTTATTCCCTCTTTGAGCCAATTCTGATGAGAGTAAGGTTCTCTCACTCCCCCTTACTTCCCCCCTCTTCACCTCCACTTGCCTCATTTATGTGAGATAATTTACCCCATTCTACCTCTCCCTTTCTCCTTCTCTCAGTACATTCCTCATTCACTACTTAATTTTATTTTTTAGATATCATCCCTTCATATTCAACTCACACCTGTGCTCTCTATATAAAATAGGCAATTTCAAGGGAAGAAATACAAGCTATCAATAAGCATATTTTCAAAAACACTCCAAATTACTGATGAGAGGAATGCAAATTAAAACAACACCAAGATCCCATCTCATACCTATCTAATGGCAAAGACAACAAAAAAGGAAATTGACATTTGTTGGAGGGATTTTAGGAGGACAAACAACTTATGCGCTATTGGCAAAACTGGGAATTGGTCTAGCCATTCTGGCAACCAATTTGGAATTATATCCAAAAAGTCAGTCACTTAACTATGCATACTTTTTGTTCTAGTGATACTACAACTAGGCATATACCCCAAAGATATCAAAGAAAGAAGAAAATGACTTATATGTACAAAAATATTTATGGCAACTCTTTCTGTGGTGGTGAAGACTTGGAAACTAAAGGCTGACCATCAGTTAGGGACTGAGCAAAGCATGGTACATGAGTATAATGGAATATTATTGATCCATAAGAAATAACAGATGGTTTCAAAGAAACATGGGAAGACTCATATGAAGTGATGCAGAATGAAGTGTGCAGAACTAGGTGAACAACTTACAAAATAACAACAACATTGTAAAGAAAAGCAACTTTGAAAAACTGAAGAACAATGAGCAAACAGGATTCCAGAGAACTCTTGATGAAACATGCCACCCACCTCCTGACAGAGAGGTGAATGACTCAGAGTGCAAAATGAAACTTTTTTTGGACATGGCTAATGGGAGAATTTGTTTTGCTTGACTATGCAGATTTGCTGGATGGAATTATTTTTGTTTGTTTTTCAATTGTAGGGTAGCAGGGAAGAGAAAAAAATGAAAAGGTTGCCATACACACAAAAAAAGATGCTCATTTAAAAAAATGTTTTTAATGCACAGAAGGGAACAGAATGAAGGCCAGAGGGAAACAGACAAGTTTTGCCCTTTACATGTTGAATTTATTGTATACATAAAGGGCAAAAAAAC